ATATTATTTTGTCTGAGTCTAATATATATAAAAAAATATTAAGATTAATTGTTGGCAAGTACTTTACAGGATATCTCCAAAGTATGCCAGTAAAAATATTGTATTTTTCGTGTAATATTTGTAGCAAAACTTGCATGCATGCAAATCTTAAGTGCTGAAGTTCGCGGATAAAATTCGGATTAATCATCTAAAAATTTTGAAATTTCTATCTTGGTTGAATAGATAAATTTTAACATTCTTTGTATGTATAACTATATTAAAAAATTATAGATAAATCTCTCTTTTAAGATTGTTACAAAAGATTGAACCTTTACATCCGTAGATATATAAAATTTTAAATTTTTGAAGAAATGTTTTTGTAAACACGTTTATACAAACTTATTGTTTTTCTTTTTAACTTGTTTTTAATCATCTTTAAATCAAAACTCGAGTTTCCTTTCGAAAATTCGGGAAAATTAGATGGCAAAGTTTTTTTTATTATAAACATATTTTATATTAAAAATGACAGTGATTTTTCCAATTAAACTGTGTGATCAAGATTACAAATTATTGAATGTGATTGGTATATTTCAATATATAAAAATAATATTTTTATATTTATTAATAATTTAATATTTGTTTAACTAATTTTGTCATGAATTTTATTATTAATCGCAAAAAGCTGCATTCGTTCATTCTATATGTAACTACAAAAAATTATTCCATTTTACATTGCTTTTTTTTTTACATAATAAAAAGCACGCTAAAATTATTTCAGTAATGGCTTTTAAAACTATATAAGTGTCATATTTTTTTTCCTTTTCGTACAAAAAAGTAATGATAAAAAAATATCGTTTTCAAATTTCGGATTATATAAGTATATATAATATAATTCTGCGAAGAGCTTTGTGATGAATAAATATCCTTCAATTTTTTATGCTGAAGTTAACAAAGAACTTCGGTTAATAAAGATTCATCAATTTTTTATAGCTCAATGATCAACATCAAATCAAAATTATCGACATTGTACGAAATTAATAAGAGAATACAATTGATTTGATGTTGATGGTCGGTATAAAAAATTGACGGATCTCTATTAACTAAAGTTCTTCGCTAACTTTAGTAGAATTTTAATTCAAGATATATGAAAATGATATTTTTCTTGTATCTACTTTGTATCTCGCGTAAATATTCGATTACTCTTGCTTTCATCAAGATTTCTTTACGGTCGTATTCTCGGCATTCTCCCTTTTTCGATATACATCGTAATACAATTGCAAAAATTCTCGGTCTCAATAAAAACTTGAATTCCACAGCTGTAAACATTCTCGTTTCCGCGTGTGAAATCGCTGTTTCAAATTCTTGCTTAAGAACGTTGTGTTTAAGTAACAGGATTTCCATCGCGGGTGCGACGACCGTTGCGCGATCATCGTATAAATCGCACCACCGCGACCGCACCGTCTCGATCGCTGTACCGACCTAAATAAAGTAACCCACATTCGACTTTTCCGTGACGATCATGCGACTTATCGCTTTGAATGTCTATATTCGATTCAACCTCATCCTCCAATCCGTTCTTTTTACAGCAGTATATCTGACATTCTTAAATTCTTGCTTCTTCATTTTTATAAAATGTCACTCGCAATGAACGTTTGAGATCACTAAAAGGCTTTAACAAAAAGTTTATTTAATCGCAAACTTCTCGCTTCCAACATTCTCTCTCTCTCTCTCTCTCTCTCTCTCTCTCTCTCTCTCTCTCTTTTCTTAAGAATTTTATATTAAACGAAGTTCGATTATTATAACCGAAATACATTTTTAATAGTAATTAGACTTCGTTTAATAAAATTATTTAGTAATTTATGAAATTCGCGATTTATTGCACAGAAATTACAAAGAATGCGCAGTACCAGTAATGTCTGGCATCGCAGCATGAAAAATAGACCAGTGAAAGTTAGATATACGAAAACTAGATCAATGGAAGTCGCAGAATAGAAATTACGTACACCGAAAAAAAAATTAGCTAAATCTGAGTAAATATTTCTTGAATAGTGCCAAGTAAATATTTACTAAATATAAACATATATTTATTTGACACAAGAATCATTAATTTGATTTAAGTGTCATTATATTTTATTGAGCAAATATTTATTTGTTCTAAATAAATGTTTTTTACTTGGTACTATTCGAGAAATATTTACTCAGATTTAGCTAATTTTTTTTTCAGTGTATATATCTTTTTAAATAATTATTTTTAAAAAATAACGTTTCATTTTTATCGGTAATAATTCGTATCTCATAATAATCTCTATCAAAGATTATGAAATCGGATTTTTGCTAATATTAGAGCAACGATCGAAGCTTTCCTCTATTTTTAGGATTCTTCGAAAAATCGTTTCAAAACATAGAACAAGAACGTTTTGCACAGTATTAGTCATATACTATCGCGAGCTGAATTTGAAATCGGAAAGGAGCTTTGCCAACGTTGGAATAATGATTGGCGACGACAGTTTGGGGTTGGTGGCCGCGAGAGCCAACCGAGCGGCGGAGGAGACGAGAGGGGCTAACGAGTGAGTCATCGTTGAGCCAGGCCAGGCCTTAGCAGCCGCAGGTCAGGAGAGGAAGACACTTTTAGCCCACATTTCTTCCTCGCCTTCTCTCTCCTTTTCGCGTTCACGGCGTTCCTTTATTTTTATCCGCCGCCGTTTATTCTTGGCCCGCCGTTTCTTCCTTTCCGCCCATTTTTTCCGCGCCGTCGCGTTATCTCATTCCCTCCTCCCTTATCCATATCGCTGTCACAAACTGGAAGTCTTCAGATGGTATCACTCTCTCTGAGATTCATCTTGGATCTTGCTTCTGCGATTCTTACAATTGACGTTTACGTAAGTCGCAGAGAAGGATTCATAAAAGCCTATAGCATTTTTTTATTTTTTATTTTTTTTATGTAAATATATGTATATACATTTCGAAGTCTCTTCAGGTTTCCAAGAACTCGTCTTGAAATATAAAAGACGTAAGCTAAATTGTTTTATGAATTGACTTTCCACGAAACGAAAGCTAATTGCGCTACTATTAATTGTAGTATACGCAACAATTGCGATGTAGACTCTTCTTTTCTCCGTATTTATTAATTGCGAAGAGCCTTCACTCGTAGAGAGTCTTGAAATTTATGGCTTTTCTAATCCGCGTTAGATATCCACACGAGACTTTGAATTCTGCTCGAATATCTCGGTCGTTTGATCTCGAGATAATTAAATTTTGGCTCTTTGTATTTTTAGATTTCTAGAATCAGATCGCTTCTTGTATCCTTTGATCTTCTTCCAAATGCTTCACATTTCTAGAATTTCAAACAATGCTTGAATGTCAGGTTTTCAAGATCCTATAATTAGCCCAATGATTGACTTTCTGAAGTTTTAGATTCTTCGAGATCTGTAAGGAGAGATGGTATTCATAGTTCGTTCTTATTTTAATACCATCTTAAGATACTAATACAGCTCTCTAATTGGTTCGTGACATTTTAAGACAATACTTAAACAGTCTCAAATATAAGAATCGATTATTATGAATATCGACCTAAGATTTCTAAGATTTCTGATGTTTTAGATATAGATAAGACGCGTAAGATGTGCGTTTATAATTTAACGAATAAATTAATTGATTTATCTGATTGATCATTTATTAAATATTTATCTTGACTTACATATACAGTGGTTTAAGATTATCGTGCACCTTTCCAAACATACAAATAAACGTCAACGTGAGATAACGTCAAGTTGACGACGCGAAAGATTGATGTAGTGTGATATTGTTCCTCATCTCATATTTTTTATCAAAAGGAAAAATATTTATATTTGTAAAAATCCGAAGATTATAAATGTTGATTCTATAGATGACGATTTATAAGGAATCTGCAAATAGAGAGAGAGAGAGAGAGAGAGAGAGAGAGAGAGAGAGAGTCGCACGAGTTATAATTATTTAGGAATACGGAACGTATATATCCGAGTTAATCAATAAGTCGGCTCTTGACTATGTTTCTTCTAGTATTTCTAACAGATATAGAATCGTGACCGACCATGTACTCATTGTTTATCGACGACGAGCGTTGTATATGTTCCATATATACTTTCGAAACCAAGTACGCTTGACTTTGTTCGCATTAATTTTTGTGTTGTGCGAATTTAGGAATGGAACTGTTCTCTTGAAACGTGCTATTCATGGAATCTTTTAATACCCTCCAACAATTGAGTCAAAATTAAAAGATATTCTTGAAAACGAGACCAATTAATATCCTCTGAAAATTAAAAGATGTCGATTGCTGTCCCATTTTTCCTTACATTTATCATTAGTTAGAATTCATAAGTCTAAATTTTAAGCACTAGAATTTTGAATCAGCATATATACATAATATATTGTATATTATATTATTATATTATATAATATACATAAATGAGAATAAAAATATAAGCAATATAAGTCTATGAATACATTACATGAAGAGTCGCCAAATACGATCAAATCTACATAATATACTTAATATACAGAGTGTCCCGAAAGTTTTTGCCAATCACTTTTGTGTAGATAGAGCTAAACTGAGCCGAAAAGTCCTGTACCATTTTGCAATTTTCGCAATAGTTAACAAGATATTAATTTTTTAATAATGTATTTTTTTATGTTGGTAAAAATAAGAAAATGCTGTACTAAAAAGTTGATAAAGAATTCTGAAAAAATACTCAAAATTTTATGAGAAGAAAATTATTGATTTTTGTCTCTTGCAGTTTTTCTGTAAAGTTGATAGTATATTTGAGTAAAAAATTATTCAATATTTGGCAATTTTTCGTAATTAATATCTTGTTGACTATTGCAAAAATTGCAAAGTGGTAGAGGACTTTTCGACTCAGTTTAGTCCGCTCTATCTACACAAAAGCGATTGGCAAAAACTTTCGGGACACCCTGTATATTGTAATATACATAATAGATAATAGGTCGATATATTTCTTTTATTAATTAATTACCGAATATTTCAGGTGGACACCGGGAGTTCCACAGGCGGCATCGAGAGCTATGCGAGGATACGCTTCTGCCAAACGGCGCTGCCGCCGCTGCCGCTGCCGCCGCCGTCGCTGCAGATCCGTCGACGACG